TGTCCTTAACCCTTTGACGACAATGCGGATTTGCACGTAGCGTGCTCGTGGGACCACGCCTCTTTTTGGCGCGCCCAACTCTCGCACAAAATGGGGCAAAATTGTCCCTAAAAGCAGTTTTCTATCAAAATTTTGACTATGACAATAAACAAAATATGACTGCAGTCTTAAGCTTTATGATCATGTATTGTTGGAATTAGAAGTGGAAGTTTGGAAAGAAATCTCGGATTTCAAAGGGATGGTGTTTGAAAACTCTAGAAGTTCAAATGTACAGTAGAATTTTTGATATAGTTCAAACTCCTCCTTGTGTCTTAAGACTGTGAAAAGACGTAGAGGTCCTGATCTGTAATTCACCTTAAGCTTAATAATGTAAAAAACACTAAGTTAATTCATCGCCGAGGAAAATGCGAACCCATAAAGTATTTCATCTAAAATTTCACAGTAAATTAGCTAGTAACAAACATTTCTGCAAATATGCTAAACATAGGCGTAACGGAGCTTGCTTATAATTACTGATATGTTGAAAATGTTTTAAATGGGTAAAGAAGAAAATTTTAGGGTGGCACCCACCATTGGGTGCCATTGTCCCACGCGCGACGGTCATAGTGGCACCCACCGGTGGGTGCCATTGTCGCCCAAAGGGTTACTCCAATACAAATCGTTTATTTTGCGAAAATTGGTCATATAATTTTAAAACCAAATTGACCGTTGAGAAAGCAATTCAACGTTAGCGAAGAATTTTGAATTTGGCCGAGTGTAATGGCCAACCCTGGTGATTAAACTTGAAGCTAAAAATTTTATACATTGAAGCTTACAGCCCTCCTACCGCTCGGAGACCATATGACACAGAATTGAGGACAATTTTTTCTCATTTTACCGATCGCTTTGGTCTCATTAGATCGATGCATTAAATTCTATTATATTACTATTTTCGTACAAGACGTTCATGAATGAAATCTGTCTTCAGGATTCTTCTCAAATCTGCTGCTGATTCTGCTCTTCCGAATGTCGCCCACACGGCCACCATCACTGTTTCCAGCGTTTCTGGCACTGTTGGACGCCCTGCTCTGCTTTTGTTTTGTGTTGATTTTCGTCGTTGACGTCAACATGATGTACCTCGAATTACCAGTAAGTTAGAAAGCGTTTTTTTTTAGCTCAGTTACAAGAATTGCTCAGTGCAAGTCAATTAGCCTCAAATTCATAGTACTAATCGTGGATCGCTCCCTGAACAGCCTTCAGTCTGCAAAATGTGCCATCAATTTAAACAAATACCGCTGTTCGGTCTTCTTGAACCTCAAGGACCGACTTCCATTGTACCAGCTTTTCGGGGAAGAAAATCAGCCACATTCTGAAAATTTGACACTCTGGAGATCATGCAGCTTAGATGTGAACTTTATAGGCCATGCCTTGGCAACAGATATTGGGCCACTTGTTCTTCTTTCTGTCTTATTTAGTAACCTCCCTTTGTAAGCATGAGGGAAAATTCTTTTTCCTTTCTACTTAGTGAATTTTCTGAAACTTTCACGAGGCGTAAAGCGCAAAGTGCGCGCATTTTCCAAGGAGGGTAAAGTGTAGGGGTAACTCCGCCGTGAAGGTGTGGGTGATGGAATGGAAGATAGTAACGAAACTTTGACGAAGATGACCATTCGACTTTATGCACATAGAGAGTTCTAAATTTTAGTCATCAGACAACTTTAATGTTCTCAAGTTCTGTAAATCTATCTGTTGACTTCTTTTTGTCTGTCTGTGTTGTTTTAAGTTTGGAACCAGACTTTCGCCAATTTGTTTTGAGTTTTTCGAGATGGAAATTAGTCAGGTGGTACCAATTTAGAACTGTAGGAACATCAATCTGTTCTGTTTGTCGACTTTTCAAAATAAATTGAGCAAATCCATGCACAAGCCTGTAATGGATCCATTCATATATTTTTTTCACTTGAAAATAATAAGTGAATATGCTTCGGAATTCTCACCTGCACCACGTGATGTCATAATGAAATAAAAGTCGTAGGCGTGCATGCGTCGACGCCTATAATCGGTTTCATTTCAATATGCTCTTTTGCGGAACGAAAAAAGTTGCTCGACGACATCTGGGACCAAGTCCTGCTCCCATTTTCCGCCCACAAGAGAGTGAAAAAAGATGAGGCAACGTTCAAAGTTCGCGATCACACATGCCAATAGGCTACTAGACTATGTACAAGGGAAAGGATGTATCGATTACCCGAACAGGCGAGTAGGCGATCGAGCAGTGGGGAGCGAAGCCGTCCATACGCCTTGTCGCCCACATCGCTTGCATCGTGAACTCTGAGCATAGCTGAGGGCCTTCGCGTTATCTTGCCTGAGATGCCCCCACGGCCTTCTACTTTCTAGGCTCCCTGAAGAGGGCGACATGGTCTAAACGTTAGCCAACGTTAGCCTTGTTTGGCTATAGAAGCACTTGAATTGTTCTATTTCCATTTATAGTGGTGATTGCACTTTGAGTGCGATTTGGACCGTGGCGTAAGCTATGGGGCCAGGCCAATGAGAAGGCCAATGTTTTCATCGCCCTAGATGTGTCTGGTACCTAAACAGCGGGGACCCCAGTGAGATGGAGGGCTTGGCTGGTCTAGGCAAAATTAGGCCGTGATTTTATTCCTGCGGCTACCCCTGTTCCCCATCTCCTATCGCTTCGGTATTACTAGGTTTTAGTGTATTGTGTTGTTTTTTGTGTCATTCGAATTTTTCCCGAGTTTTCATGTCCTGAATTTTCAGGGTCTTTTCGCCTTCTACCACGACTACATCATTTTTGCGTTTTCGACAGCGAAAATCGTTCAATTTCTCATACCGTACATGCTCATAATGGGCACTTTTGAGCGCTACACATGGATCATCACGAAAGAGTTGGTTTGTCACAGTCACAATTACACTAAAACGCGAAAACCAATTTAATGCCTGTTTAGTCAATAAATTGAATTAAATTGTATAATTGTTTGCTTTCTGATAAGACTCCTCCACAGGACGTCTCACTGGTAAGAGCGAGTGTAGTTGGTGGCTAGCAGAAACGAAAGCGATAAGACTTCCTTAGCGCTATAGGCTTTTTAATACCGGCTACCGTCTCAAGGCGCCTTCATCAGGACGATCGACATGCATTTTACTCCTGAACCCGAGGAATTCATTTTCTTTCCACGCTCGAGTCTTTCCAACCGAAGCACTTAAAAGAAGTGAATTTGAAGGACTTTTGTTCTGCGGAATAACTTGCTTCATATCTACACGCATCGCGGTAATTCCATTGGGCGTCCTCGTTTGGAGGACCTTGGGAGGTTGTCCGAATAGCACTCCCAGCGAGTTAAAGGACCTGGTTCACCAATGACGTCCAAATGCACGTCATCAACGCCACTCCGCCTTTTTTTACACTCGTGTTGCTGGCCTTCAATTAAACCCCTTGAAGGATCCTTGTCCATTGTAGTATTGTGACACGCGTTTAAGCATTTGATGTTTAATGTACTGCAATTGTTTTTGTATTGTGAGCCAGACGAGGTTTTTAAGATGGAATCTTCATTCACTGGCCTGACGTTTCGACCGCTTTGCCTTCTTCAGAGGCCTGGAGATGGTCGATGATTCCACCTGCGGAAGATACATTATACGAGAGTTCGGGTTGCTTGAAAGTGCAGCCTAAAGTGGGTGATAAACTTCATCTAAGGCTAAATATAGACGCGAATTCGATAGCAAACAAGTACTGTGAAGGAAAGTTGCAAAGACGCATAGGTGGAATCATCGACAATCTCCAGGCCTCTGAAGAAGACGAAGCTGTCGAAACGTCAGGCCAGTGAATAAAGATTCCATCTTAAAAACCTCGTTTGGCATACAGTACAAAAACAATTGCAGCAACATTATAACATCAAATGCCGAGGTTCCAAGAAAGGACGACATGGAGACTACTTTTTAGCATTTTCTTGAATAAAGTGCAAATATTGATGCTCAACAAATCGTGAGAAGAGGCAGATCTGGCAGACGCCGAGTGACTCATTTTCAGACGATCCGAGCGTTAGTTCGAGTGCTCGCTCCTTGTCAATTGTCATACTGGTGGCTGTAGCTGCCTTGATTCGAGTACCTGCTGCTGCCGCCCTTACCGTCTCAAGGTTTCCTCGATGTACGGACTATTTCCGGACACTCGCCGTTGACATTTCAATACCGTTGGTGCAAGAGGGAGCTATGGTTGAACTTCATTTCGTTCTTGTAGGAGGCTTTAAAAAAGCGGATAAGGCTGCAGTAACCTTACACTGCCAACGACGAGGTAAAATAAAAAAAAAAGTTAGAGATATTCGAAGAAGATTCAGTCTCTAGCAGTTCCACCACGCACTCGACTTGCTTTGAATGTTGTAGAAATTCAGTACCTGTAGACTTGCACATAGGGAAAGCCAATGTTGATCTCGTTCTTCCCAATCTGCAAGGGTATGGTGTCAATAAATTGTAATGGAGGGACCTGACAAAGATGGACGAGAGGGGGGGGCCTGTTAGCCCCATAAACGCTGACAAAAAGACTTTTTTTTGCCGGCAGTGTTCGGAAGTGTTCTCGACGCTCTATGACGTCGAGAATACTAGAATCGGTTGATCGAGTAGCTTACAAATCAAAAAGCTTTCAGACAATCTCCAGGCCTCTGAAGAAGACGAAGCGGTCGAAACGTAAGGCCAGTAAATAAAGATTCCATCTTCTTTTGGGATGCGCCAAGCATACTGCTTCCATTCACAATCGCAGTGGCGTTTTGAAGGAGATTTGCCCTATGCAATGAATTGCGGCGGCTAGCCTGAGGCAGCGTAATTGTGCCCCACAAGTCTGGTACCAATTGACCGACCCAGGACGGGTGAATGGCTTGGTTGGCATGGACAGGGTAAGATGCAGGGTTAGATCTGCGGATCGTGCACATGGTGAACAGCGTAATTTACTCTTCACGGCCCTTGTTAGAGTTTTAAGAAGAAAAAGAAATGGCGGTACAGTGGAGAATGTTCGGAGCTTCAATTAATCCATCTGTTTAATTTTTGATCGAAAAAAAGCTTCTGTAATCACTCACCGAACGTGGCCACCACACCGGCCACCGATATGTAGACGAATCGAGTGACGGTGACACGTTCCGTGTAGCCGCAGATGCCGTCCGTTATGGTCACACTTACTCCAGATGACGAATTACCGTAATACATTTGTGGACTACTGTAATCTAACATTGGTCTTAACGGGCAGCTACATCGAATATGAGGAGGAAACAAGTGGAAGTCGACAATTTGCTAAAGAACAAATGTTAAGAGGCGGAGGCAAGTGGAAGTGGTGGAGTTTATGCATTGAAAGATTGCTAGCAGGTAATTGAGGTAAGAGCAGAAGCTCCACATTTTCTATTATTTATTATGATTGCATTCAGTGGTGCGTTGTAACAGGGAAGGAAAGAGGAATTGGATTGGTAGAACTAATGACAGCAATAACAAACCAACAAACAAAGCGAGATTCGTATAACACAGACAAAAGCTAAAACAAAACGAAAAGCAAGCCCAGCTTTAAGGTCTGCCAAATACAAAAATGGCCCCCAAAGTTCGCGCAGAAATATCAGCTACCCGTGCTGTACATAAAGAGCTTATTTAGGCCGTAAATACCTAAAGATCGTTGCTTAAACCCTGAACTTGAATGACAGCCATGCAAGCGCAAGTCAGTCTGGGCAACGCAACCAATCGAAGTCGTTTATAGGCCGGTTGAGGTAGCTGCCTCTTCGATTTGAACGCTAACATTTTGCTTCACTTTTCACCATCTCCCGGAAGCATTCTCTCCTCTGGAGTACCTTACGCGATATGAAATGTCGCATATATGTACCCCTTATCAGATAGCGCTCAAGCGCAGTATATGCTGCTATTCACAGCTACTTCGCAGTGATGTTGGAGTTTGACGAATGCTCGTAGAAGAAGAAGTTGCGGAACTATTCCACAATTACAACTTCCTACTTGGCCTTAAAGGACGAATTCACGATGAAAAAGCAACCCATTTCAAATTAACCTAGGGATGGTGAGTGGTACACGAAAGAAGGAAGAACCATGAGAAACGGCCCAGAACCCGAGAAATGGGACCCTTCCTTGCCCGTTGATTTGAGCATTGATGCGACTCATCGCTGTGCCCTCTTCAACACTACGCTCTCTCTGCTATCTAATCACTCGCCACGTATAGACCTGCGGCGAGTGATTAGATAGTCGGTGGGCGTACCCCGCCAACCGCGCCAAGAGTGAGCCATGCTAGGTCGCCGAGGTCAAATCTTTCGCTGCCAATTGCGCGTCAGTCCGCACCCCTCAGGAGGTCCGCCGGTCTCTCAACTAGGTGAATTACTCCTTCTTCGACCTTCATTCTAATCGTGAATTCCGTCCTTTAAGGCGTAACTCGGCGACCTGAGAAGTGATATTGTACTCATTTTTGGCACTGGTTCCACTTCACGCCAGTTGACGTTTATTCATCAAAACTGCACGCCCTCCAGAAATCGTGATCACTGCCTTTAAGGTGGGCTGGATTGTAAAGGTAGTTTACACGAGGGACAAGTTGGAAAATAAGGCTTTTGGGGGCTCATTGAGAGAAAAAGAAAGGTAGAGGGAGGAAAAAGCTGAGTATTGACATCAGTTGTCGGTAAATGGGGGAAAGGGAGGGGTAGGCAGGCGGAGTAGGAGTGAAAGAAGAAATATTTGAAACTTCTGCAAAGTCGACAGAAAAGTGATTCAACTTCCCCACTGACCAAAAAAATTCTTCCAGCCATTTCGATAGGGGAGACGAGAAAAAAAACTCACAGCCCATACACACAGCCCATACAATTGCCTACAATTGCGTGGCTCATTCCACGAGTTTATGGAGTTTATGAGCACGTTACCGTCGAT